TCATTATCACCTTATTGCTGCTGTATTTATTGATGATCTACACATTGGACTTTAATGGTTAACTCGGAAGGAAACATGGAGTTGACTGAATTTTAAGAACTCCATGAAACAGTACATCCTAGATATGGCCTTGTAAATGCATGTTACAACTATGCAGCCCGTAAGGGACAATGGATTTACAGTACAAGTATGAGGATTTATAGTTATCAAAAAGAATAGGTTTAAAATGCAAAAGTATTGTAAAAACTTCAATTTATGTTGACCATTTTTGCATAGTACTATATCTGTAGTTTTTTTTCTGATGATAGAGACACAGGGGAAATGCATTTCTTTCCCAGTTCATGATTTAACTTATGATAAAGACAAATTCAGTCACAAAAAAATGGCAAACTGGTTTTAAGCAATTTTACAAGCATAGCACAAAATCCCTTGACCAATATTTCATTTTGAAAGAATATTGTTTCAGTAACACATTCTCTTGGCCATAAGGGACACTGTTAAATGTTAAAAGAATTTTGCTATTGCAAGACCATTTTTCACTTGCACAATGTAGCAGCTACTTTATGACAGCCTTAGTTAAAAGATCTGAAAGGATATTATAGTCAGTAAACTATGTTATGCTATTGTTCGTTTCACTATAAGTTGCCCTGTACTATTCTTAGGTCTCATGAACACATTCCTAAAATACTTCTACTGGGCAATGAACAGAAGATTTTCAGAACAAGAAATGCCAATCATTTCCAACCATTTCTTTAAGGCAAAACAGGAAAGAAAAGTAAGAGACACAAACGCAGTGTTTAATACGTTATCTGTAGAGTCCTGTTCTACAGAACACCCCAGCTAGGAGCACAGAATACTGACTGCATCCAGCAGCTGAAGACAAGGCTGATGTGCAACAGAGCCTTCTCACCCAGCAGGTGGCGCCCTAGAAAAGCCACACATAGCATTAAGGACTCAATAGTGGGAGGTCTGTGCTCTTGGCCCTGGCGTTTTCCAGGAGGCATTCTCATTCAGTACAAAAGGCTCAGCCAGAGAAGAATGCAATTCAGTTAATAATAATACACTTTTTCATTTCTTTGCAGCCTTCATTTCTTTTCTAGTCTACCAACCCCCAGTCTAAACTTATGCAAAAGGGCACACACACACATATTCATTACATTCAGACAGGACTGTGGACGGGACTGTGCCTTGGCCTTTTTTCACACTTAAGTTATTCACCTACTAAGCCTAAAAAACAATCTTGCTGTTCTGACTTGTTAAAATCACACGTTGCAATTTTTTTCCCTACAACACTAGTGAAACTCTCTGGCAATTGCACCCACCCAGAGAAACAGTGCATGCTAATATAATGCCATATTCAAGCACCCACTCGCCTATTATTGCTTTTATAAATATTGTGCAAAATTCTCAGCATAAATCACGTGCAAGCAATTAATTTCCATTTTATGGAACACTTATTTGCTGGTGTCTTTGAAGCTGGTTTGATGGTGGGCATCTTGATTTGTTTCTCCTGCTAACCCACACTGCAGTGCACTAAGAATAGGAAAGTGAGAAAGGATGGGTGTGGGGACTTTTTTCCAAGTTTGGCATGCAAAAAATTCAACAACTTATTCATGCAGTCAGAGAATTACCAGAAATCTATTAATGCTGTCAGAGAAATGATGCAGAGGAGATTGTGCAAATCTTTGAACACTGGTGTTGCTGTACTAATAAAGATGTGATTTAGTGGTGTTGTGTCCCTACCATTATCTGTGATTATGAACAGATATTAAAAGAATATATACAGTAGTTCAATGATCATTATATTAGATAAAGAATACACAAATTTAGTTACTTACAGTATGACTTAATTAATGCCATAAACCACACAGTATTAACAAGGAGGTAGCTTATTTCTTTCAAATGAAGCTCAACTCAGTTTGCTCAAGCAGAGCAAACACATTGATTGCAGGATTGATTTTGTTTGGAACATTTCCTTAGCTGATTGACTGTGTTAATGTTCTATAAGCTGCTGCTGGGACTTGCACTGAATTGGTTTATAGTTTATACATTTCTACAAAAGTCACTTTCATGATCTGATCTGGTGACTTGGCAGAGCAAAAGGGAGTGGAAAGCCATGCCTATCCCTTTCCACAGACTGGCAAAGACCTTAGCAAACACCATTTGTTAACATGCCTGTCAGTTTATGAATGTTGCTTTATGATACAGAACATTAACTGCACAGGGATTAACAGGGTGTATCTTTTTTAAGAAAAAAAAAGAATAATGAGTTATAGTTGTGCTTTTATTACACCATGGTAGTCACTTTATAGCCTTAGCATGGAAGTGTTATGAGGCAACAAAAGAAAATAAAATGTGTTTTAAAATCACAGCAAACCTGAGGTAGGACTACAGGAATTTTTTGGTGCAAACCCTCCTGAAACTGATGCCATTCCTTTATCTGTCCACTCCATAGCTTAATGTCAGGCTTCCTTTGCACACAAAATTGATAGTTTATCATGCTTTCCCCTTTCAGGAGATTAGCATTTAACAGACTTTCCCATGGTTGCCTGACAATAATTCTGTTCTCTTCTCTTTCATTGACAATGCTTTTGCTAGCTTTAACACATTTTACTGTGGCATTGTTACAGTCCATTACAGTAAAGTGTTCTCTTGTCTGCTCACTAGGCAGGCTGCACAGGGATAATCCCCTCCTGCTAACTATTGACTTAAAGTCATTTTCCCAGGCAAAGCTGGCAGGGTGTCCTTGCAGCCACAAACTAAAAGGGTCAGAGTTCATGATGCTGCCAAACTGCCAATCAATTCGCAAGTCAAACTCTAGATAACGGCACTAATCCCAAAGAGTAAAGTCTGAAATCACACAAAACATAGCAACTGTGAGAGAAGATTAAGTGACATTATAGAGTAGAGCATTAGCACAGAAGACTGGCAGGACAGTGAGGTTAACTGCAGTGTTGAGAGTGTAATGCTCTTCATGTTTGTACAACATCATAAGGTTTATAAAAGATGAGCCACAGATAAGGATCTTAACTTTCTTTCAAGAACATGTGTAATTGATTTTGAAAGGATGTAATGCTGCTAAATTAGTACAGAAATACTGTAAGGCAACTGATGATTTGGTGAATATTTACAAGAGGTTCATCATTGTTTCATATTCTTAGCTATTCTAAATTATTAATACACAAACCTAAAAAGCTTAGACTTAATGATCACTTAAAAGCCTGTTTTGTTTCTTATTACTGACAAATGGAGAACTAGTCTTGCTGGTCCATAGCCCCTATCTTCTTTAAAAAACCCTTCTGCTGACTAGAAAAATGTAATTTTAAGTGCTGCGAAAGACTGCCAATAAGTATCAAACAGATGTGTGCACAGAGACTTCTTTCAGACAGATGTGTACATTCTTCTGGGTCAGAGCTGTAACGAGTTCCAAATTAATTTGTAATTTTTGGAATCATAAAGCTTTTCAGAATGACTTGAAGTTTTAACCTGTCAGAATCTGCTGCATTACTTCGAAAACATTAAGCCTGCAGCATTCCAGGTCTCCATTTTATTCTCTTTGCGGAGAGGAAATCCAACATCCTCAGCTGCCAAAAAGACCCCTGCCCCCCTTTCCTTTCCAAAGCTGTGGATTAACCCCTATTAGTGCCGCCCTCTCACCCCTGTCCTTCACTAGTCTGTGAGAAGCATGAAAATGAGCTTGAGCTCTCCTCCTGGCACATTGCAAGGTGTTGTTTCAAGGGTAGCCAGTAGGGGGCACACTCACACAAGAAAGACTGTACTCTGAAAGGGTGGAGGTAGTCAAGGTTGCAACGAAACACAGAGTCAGTGTTTCAAATACAAGTTGAAATGTCAACTATTCTTTTGACATCTAAATTATCATACAAAGTATAGTCCGATAACATGCATTCATACCTGTGTTTTGCTTAACCTTGCTAGTGTACGCATAATGGCCATACCAATGTAAGACAGGCAATTAAATAGATCACATATACTGTACAGAGTGATATAACTATGGAAAAAAATGCTTCTGTTTATTTTACTTAACCTACAGTTTTGAGACACCGCCAAGGAACAAATAAATGTAAAATACAAAATGTATAGCTGATGGAAGGGAGGAGTGAATACAACTCAATATTGAAAGCAATGCTGGAAATGATGGATAACAGCACCTAGACCCCTATCAAGAAGCAACTATCTATGCAGAGTGATTTGACATAATGATAGTTGTAATAATTAAGTTGCATTAATTATTATTAATGTAATAATAATTAATGCACCTTGACAGCGATATTTTTACAGAATTAAAAAATCTAGGCACATCTACAGTACGTGGTCTATTGTAATGGTTTTCTTTTGGATTTGCAAAATAAAATGATTGAGTAGACTTTTCACTTCTCATTAAAGAAATTGACACTGATTACAATGGAATTTGAGAGCTTCTTTCAGTTCCATATCCATCAAACCAAATGTTTGTCAAAGATAACTACTGTATATACGATGTACAAATACCAATGGAGAAAAGACTCTATTGCTGCTTGTTTTTCCTTAGTATGATGAGGCTCTATGGCCAGATATGCATGTATTTAAGTTTAAGCAAATGAGAAAATAATTTGGCTTGTACAGTATTGTAATGCTACGGGGTTCACGTGGACACCCTTGCCTCTACCACATCAGGTCAGCCCCCCACAGTCGGGGACTCAAACCCAGGCCTCCAGCATCACTCCACAGGGACCTAGCCTCTTGAGCCAAAGGGAGATCTCCCATCAGCCCAGCAGCTGCGGGCCCTGCTATTCACAGGGAAGGGCGGTGACGTCACCGCTCTGGTAAGCCGGCTCTCACAATCAATGGTGGCCGTATGCGTTACAGTATCTTAACATGGAAATGCACAAAGTAACTTCTCCATACAGTATGCAGATGGTTTGCTCTGGATGTCTGCAAGTGGAGAATTAATAAGTTCTAAGAACGTTCTCTCATGTTGTACTTTCTTACTTCCTCCCCAGCCTCCAAAGTCTGCCCACCCTGTGACAATGAGCTTAAGGCCGACACTATAATGGAGCATTTCTGCGCCAGCGATTTTGGTAAGTGCCTTTAGAAATGCCTGAGAAAGTGTCCTGTATTTGGGACAGGGTGGAGATAAGTGCCTATACACATATGCAAACAGTGGAATATGTTACACCTAAGATCCAAGAAAGCTTGAAAGCTAACTGGTCCTAGGAAGCACGTATCACTGACAGAGGAGAGGGTTATCACTTCAGGACCCCCAGTCTGTACTGACCAAGGACCACAACCGACACAGCCAGAAGCAACCTCTTGTCACTGCTTGACAAGGTATACTCTACAAAAGTGATCACAATAAATTGCCTTCAAACCAGTTCGAAATATAAAAATGTGAGTGTGAAGAATACGGGACTGAACACAGAGTGACTAAGATCAATATTATGTAGAAGTTCCCACGGTGCAGAAAATCTAACATGCTAAATTGGCACTGCTGTTATACATATTGGCACATCTACACTAGACCAATTTAAGAATCTAAACTCTGCCTGCAGTGAACACAGTGAATCAAACAGTGTACTGTACATATAGGATAATACAAAAAATGAATGTACCACATTTTACAAAGAGATAAATATTTGGAGTATCCTCTATAGATACTATATTGTAGTCCTTAAAGTTGTGGGTAAATAATGCAGATAAAGCTGATGTGATCCAAAGCATAGTGAGGATGAAGAAAATGTACTGTAAGTAAAGCATGTTGTGCATGCAAAGGAACATTGCTCTATTGATGCATATACTGTTTGTATCAGAGAAGAGTGCATTGATTTTGCATATTATTTAAATGTCATTAGCATCATTTTGATTGAATTTTGAACATTTTGATTTTGTTCATGACTGACCATGATACACATGAGTGACTTGACTGTTGCACAAGATCTAAAACACTTCATTAATAAGGGGCACAGGTGATGAGGGAATTAAACCTGTTGAATACTGTATTATACCTGGTACTGTATAAATCACAGAAAAAAACCAATATGCCTAGATTATCAAGAGAACAACACCTTCGTGCCACTGTTTTAGGCTGGACTAATTCTACTCATTTTCTCTTACTGTCTGGGCACTTCACAGTCTGTATACTCTAACTTGGAAAGACATTATAGCTAAACACAGTCCACCAAGTACTGGAGACAATCAGAGAGACCAAAACTGATCGTGAGGTTTAAGTGTGATGGTCTGGGCAGGAGCGTATAGTCACTACAGAGCTCCACCTGTAAGTGACTGATGGCAATATGTCTGCACAGAGCTGCATCGATCAGGTCCGGAGATCTCACTTGCTGCCACTCCTGCAATCTCAAAATACAGGCCTCATGGTCTGTAAGTGCCCTATTCCACAGAATGGATCCCCCTTTGACATTTGCAGGATAACATGAGAATATAGCTTGCATTGCTCTCAATGGTGGCCATACTGTATATGCTACTAGCCTGTGGCTTAGTGTAGGCCCCCAGCTTCTTCATCATGTTGATGACAAATGTTAATCATTGTATGAATTTACCTTTGACATGTCTGTTCAACGAAACGTCATTGCACTTACAACAAAAATAATTATATATTTTTTCTGACAGTAACTCTTAGAACTTGTTGAGGTTTCTTTTAATGCTCAGGACAGGTACAGAAAATGAGAATTTTATCTTTTTACAAAAACCTTAAAAATTTTAGTGTGGCTAAACTGTCTGTCTTTGTCCCTGTTACACTTTCTGTATGGATTCATTTGCATGGCAGACTGGAGTCAGTTAATCTGAACAGAGAATAGCCTAATGCATTGTACTACAGACAATTTGTAAAAAATTGAATAAAAAACCACCCTCTCTCCAAGACGTGGCAACTTGACGTTTGTTGTCTTGTTTATTCCTCTAGGTGGTAAAACTTCTGTTCTGACAGTACATGATGGATTGATAATTTTTTAAGTTCAAGGCAACATTGTCAAAAGCAGACTAGCATGTATTCTGCCCTGTTCTAATTTGACGATTTATAAAGGTTTTGTGAGCTTCAAGAGAAGAGACTACATATCAGTGGTGTGCCGCACAATATACCCTGTAATGTAAATGACAGAGTGTTTACAGTTCATCTGGCTCGTATTCAAAAGCCACATCAATTAAAATGGGTTCTGTAACCCCCCTCACACACAGACACAAACTCCTGAGCCCACCACCCACGATTACAAAACAGTATGATCCAGATGCATGTGTTCCTGTATTGTGTTATAGAGGCTGTTCACACTTTAATATGCTTTTTTATATTGTGATAAAGTTAACAAATTACTCACACCACTGGGTAGGAGCTACGAAGTTTGTCACGTTTTTATTTTTATGTGCATTTTTTAAATTATGTACAGTATAATTATGGCTCTTCTCTGTTGGCAGCATCAAGAAAGCGAAGCTGTGTGGTTTCCTTCACACGCTTTTAGAAAAACAGAAACATTGTTTGAGTAACAAAGACATATTACTCAATTGTGGAGTTGTGGCTCCTCAATAATAAACAATTATATTAATATATTATCGGCACTCACACATTTGGCTCAGGTCCTTCATAGTGAAGGAAAATTCTGACTCTGAGCTAGGACAGCATGCTGCTGGACGAAGAATGGTGAAGATTTTATATACTGTACATGACTGCCAGCTGTGGAATTGTTTTGCAATTAGAGGGTCATTATATCTGCATTTTTTTTTACTACAGGGCCTTTCAAAAGTTTTTTTTTATGCAAAAGACACAGCAGATGATTTTCCAAACAGACCTGTCTTCATTCATTGGTATCCAAAACATTTGATCTGACATTTATCCGGAGGATGATAATAAATGGTCTCATATGCCTCTGTATATTTTTGGCAGTCACTCTATGTTTCGTTCCACACCCAAAGAGATCATCAATCCTTACCAAGTTGTTTTGACTCACAATGCACTATGTAATGCTTTAGTTTAGGTGTACAGTATAAGGCATGTATTAATAATGACTAACATAAATGAGCTAGCACTTAACGCATTGCAGATAGCAAATGTCTTGTCACTTTTTATTACCTTTTTGTTAGCAATAAATATCTAAAATGCACATTATAAATATCATTTTATGACAAATATGAGGCATATATGATTCACAAAGCAGAGTTAAGGACTTTTTTAGTGAAAAAGAAATAATACATGCCTTATAACGTCCGTTTAAATAAAACACCATCATTCAGAAATGCGTGTAAAGACCATTTTAGGCAATTGAAAGACCACCATCATTTGGTATAACTGAGTCGAGGTTCAGAATAAAAACACTTTAGTGTTCTTAACCTGTGCTGAGAGGAGGCATTCACAAACACTTGGTGTCGTATCAGTACCCTCCGTAATGGACACACGCTCAACAAGACGTTTAAGGTTTCTGAATGATACCGGCGTTATCTTACGTTATGTTGTGTACTTTACAGGATGTTGTTTTACTTTGTACAGGTATTTTCAGTAACGATGTAAACAGAATCTCAAAGGGAGGATTATCAAAGTGTGTTCTGAATTTCTGTGTTTATGATTAACCTTTCCAAGATCTAAAATGAACTTTGGAATTTAAGAGTATAACATCCAAAAGAGGATCTTAAAATATATGTGGGATCTTACTGTAGGATGTGCAAGACTTTTTATACTAATAATAAAACCACTCGGAACGGAGGGATTAACTTAATACAGTGCTTTTTCTGTAGTCCCAGGAAAAGAGCAATTTTCCCGAAGGTTCAATGCTCTAAGAAATATCTCATTCGCAAAGTGATTTAATACTAATTAAAAAGAAAATCTTACACCGGGTGAAGTCATCCTAAATCATATCCGAATGATTGAGAAGAATGTAATTTATGCAAAGCGCAGTGAAATAGGAAAAGTAAACTTTGGTCTTTAAGTTACTTTTTGTACTTGAAAAAAAAAACTTTGTTACTGGCTTTTAAAAAGGAATTCTTTTAAAAAACAAATAACAAGGATTTTTCTCAGACGGGTATGTTCTTACACTGGAGCCACCGAACAGGCAGACCACTGTTTTCTCAAGAGTAATTTAGTGCGGTGTTTTTGATTAGTCTACTTAGATGTTGCTGAGCTGTGAAAGCTTGTTTTTCCGTACCTGTAGAACTTCTGTCAGCACCCACATAGTTCGCAATAACATAAAATCAGACATCTAGCCCAAAATTGTACTATTAATATGTTCTTTTGGTAACTATACCGATACCACGTCGAAACCGAAACTGCAGCTTCAGCTTAATGCGTCTCCCGTTATGAAATGGGGAAGAAAAATACCATTCATGTTTGTTTACATTTCCTGTCAAGTAACTCACCTGCAACATCTGTGGTTGTCACCTGCAACGTCTGTAGCTGTCTGTAGTTTTTGTTTCACTTTAACTGCTTTAAGCACACGTTTGAAGGAGAAATGAGATATGAGATGACACGTACAGTATCAACTCAACATGCATTCAGCAGCTAGCTGGGGCGAAGTGTAGTCAATCAAGCTTCCAGCTCTCCATCCCTCTATCTCCATAGAGAACAGCTTTAGGAATTACTGTAGTTCATATCTAGGTGTTGCTTACTGTGCTTATTTGCGGAAATACTGGTCAATTTTGTTTATATTGTTTACAGCAATTTTTCTTACAGACTAGACGTCGTTTGTTCTTAAAGTTTTTGTGAATCTATGAGTTTTACATTTCAATAGGTTTGACACAGATTACTTCCCTGTGGTACCTAATGACTGCGTGCTTAAACGAACATACTGTACAGTAAACTTTAGCGTCACACTGAAACAGCTAACAAGTCATTATTGTGGGTAAATTGTATTTTATCCATATTTTTCTTCTAGTGCTACACACATTAGTCATCTGTTACAGACATGTCTAATACAGTATCTTGAACGGAAAGGCAGAGACAAAAAAAAACGTAAAGCATATCTAAACTCAGCATTTGACATTACTGTTTCAAAGCACATCTTGTAAGCAGCCTTCTTGCTTTAAATTTTCCATAATCTGCTGGAGAGAGACCAGAACAAACCTCTGCTTTCCATTCCGTGGACAG